GTCCAGACTTATATACGATGGTCACATCAAATTCCTGTAGACGCAAACTCCATCGTGCCAGTCGTCCAGAGGGATCACGAATGTTTACTAACCAGCAGAGGGCATGGTGGTCCGTCACCACTTTAAATGGACGACAATAGAGGTACGGGCGAAACTTGGTGATCGCCCACACTACTGCGAGACACTCTTTCTTTGTGGTCGTGTAATTCACCTCGGTACGGGACACTGAGCGGCTGGCATAGGCTATGACTCGTTCTTTGCCGTGTTGATGCTGGACGAGCACTGTGCCGAGGCCGATGTTACTGGCGTCAGTGTGCACCTCTGTGTCAGCATCATCGTCAAAATGTGCAAGAACGGGGGCTGACTGCATCCGCTGTCGTAGCTCGGCAAAAGCAGCCTGTTGCTCAGTAGCCCATACAAATGGTGTGTCATCGCGTGTAAGGCGAATCAAGGGTTCCGCTATCTTCGAAAACGCTCTAATAAATCGTCGATAGCAGGCGCACAAGTCCAGAAAGCGCCGAACAGTCTTTTTGTCTGTAGGATGCGGAAACGCGGCTACAGCGGCAAGTTCGTCGGGGTCGGGTCGGACTCCTTTGGCGTTGACTACATGGCCAAGGAATTTGAGCTCTTCATAACCAAAGTGACACTTCTGCGGTTTGAGTGTAAGATCTGCTGATTGAATAGCCTGTAGCACATTCCTGAGGCGGTGAAGATGTTGCTGGAAGGTTTCAGAAAAAACGACATCATCAAGGTATACGAGACAAGTTTGCCACTTCAGACCAGTAAGCACAGTGTCCATCCTTCGCTGGAAGGTTGCGGGCGCTGAGCACAAACCAAAAGGAAGGACTCGAAATTCATACAGGCCATCAGGGGTTACAAAAGCCATTTTCTCGCGGTCTCGCTCGTCAACCTCAATCTGCCAGTACCCGCTTTTTAAATCCAAAGAGGAAAAATAGTGGGCGCGGCGTAATCTGTCTAACGAGTCGCCGATGCGTGGCAGCGGGTACATGTTCTTTTTAGTCACGCTGTTCAGCTTCCGGTAATCGACGCAAAAACGTAGCGTTCCGTCTTTCTTCTTGACTAGGACGACCGGAGAGGACCACACACTGTTGGACGTGTTCATCATACTGGTGTGAACTGTAGGGTCAGGTTCGGGTGGCAATCCCCTTATCCTGCGGCTTGTCCGATGAACGGGAGTGTTGACTCGCACTGGGCTTGTGGTGCCGCTTCCAGGAGGGGTCTGAAACATCCGTGAGGGGCCTACCCAGCACCTCCACCAATTGTCACGTCACTCCAGGGGGTGTCGACAAGGTTTATTGACTTTTGAGCAACAGGGCTCTAACCAAGCGCGTCGGTTGGGCTTGTTTGCCAGAGCGGGGGCCCATGTGCACTTCTTTCTTCTCTGTAGTGTGAGCCTTCACCTTGGCATACGACCCACTACTAGAAGTAGGTGGCAATATGACACAGAAACCATCGTGAGAGCACAACAAAACGCGACACACAGAAAGTGACAGATGAAGCATACGACCCACTACTAGAAGTAGGTGGCAATATGACACAGAAACCATCGTGAGAGCACAACAAAACGCGACACACAGAAAGTGACAGATGAAGACAGGCCTGTCCCTGTCTTTTTCTGTGTCGTGCTTTGTTGCGCGCTCATGATAGTTTCTATTTCAAAGCACCAACTCGCCCAAGAGTCAGTGTACATTTGTTGAGGTGTTAGGTCCGCAACAATGATAGAAAAGAACTCTGCAAGTACAAAACAGTTTTTGTGTTACTCTTTTATGTGTGCCTCATCTTGTATTGATGCTCTTTATTGCTCTACATAACTTGCACGTAATGTTACAGACAGGTTCTCTGCGCTGGGTACATGAAGATTGGGCGCACCATGAGTTTTTATTGCATTTGAGAGTGCCAGTGCCAGGAATGACAGAAAGTCTTCACCCCTCGCATTCTTTTGCGCTATCTCCGCTTTCTTCTGTGTAGCCATGTCAAAAGGGAACATCAAGAATTGGAAGGGGCACAGACAATATTCGGATATCTTCATTTCCTGCTCTGCACCGTCGAGCTAGAGTTCACGCAGCATCTTAGCCAGCTGGTACCTGAAGAGGTCGACCAAAGTGACGACAGGGCAAGTTCTGTGATTGATACCAACAAACCCAGCCAACCACATTTCTTGTTGGCGTTCCTGCTTTCTTTTGTCTGTCGTTCATCACCCCTCGCTTATTCAAAATATAGCCCGAGTGGCGCCGCAAACAAACGCCCTCTCTCACAAGGGAAGTTCCAGAGATACAGCTTTCCTTTTCACCTGACAACCTTCACCCCAACCTTTCAGAGGACAGAACACCTGCTTTCCGCTATTCACCTGAGTGGAGGCAAGAAGGAAAGACAGGTTCAAGGAGCGGGCGGTGGAGGGCAAGTTGGGTTAGAGTGACCTCTTTCAGGTCACTCTAGTTGGGTAGAGATTGAAGGGGGTGCATGGTTCTAAGTTGGAAAAGACTCCACTGAGGTAAACTATTTTCGCATACCACCCTTTGGGAAACGGGGAGCTTTTCAGTGCGCTGCTTTCGTTTTGTCCATCTAGATGGTGCCAAAAGAAAATTTTCAATGTAGTGGTAAAAATAAAGCAGATTTCTCTGTGCTCATGCACTATTTGTGTATTATTTGTTTGTGTAATTATATCAGGAGATAGGAACTATTGTTAGTCATGCTGAGATTTCAACTCGGTTTGAAGATTGTAGTTTAGTTGGTGTTTGAGGCATGATAAATTAAGATAATTTGTGAGCTGCGTTTCTTATTTCTGCTAGTTTTATTGGAAAGCTCTACGTTGAGGAAATAGATCAGGGGCTCTAGTTCGTCTATGTGAAAATTAAGCCACAGAACTTCAGTAGCTTGCCACGAAAATAAGCAGAGGGCTCCATGTACTCAGGAAAGAGCCCAATTTAGATCACTATAAATAAAAAAATGAAAGGCGTAAATAAATGCAATTAATGCTAAGATCAGGAATATTGTTTCTTATGCACATCCTGAAAATGAACATCCTCTAGCGAGTAGTTAGCAGCCAGTCTACAGCTTAATATTACTAAATTTGGCTGTTTTCAAAAGATGACCAACAATAAAGTAGAAGTCCTACATGAATATGCTACGTTGAGGAAACAGAAAAATATGTCTTGAATGTGCTGTGCAAGAAGCAGTGCTGTGACTGTAGCAGATTTCTCAGAAAATGGTTACAACTGAGGCACAGTAAGCCCAAACCTCGTAGCTAGCGCTTATCATTGCCTGCCCTCCACCAAATAGTAATGGTTGACTTGATTTTAATAGACATATTTGAATTGTGCGAAAGTCAAGCATTTCACTCATATATAAGTCAGCTATAAAAATTAAGAACAGCCGCTACGTCAGTTGGAAAAGTGGCAAAAACGGTGTGCTCGTTCCACCGGAGTGAGGCCGCCGCATTAATGTGATAACGTATGTCACTGTCGTAACTTTACCATATATAATCTGCCCCGCCGCGGTGGTTTTGTGGCTAAGGTACTCAGCTGCCGACCCGCAGGTCGTGGGATCGAATTCTGTCTGCGGCGGCTGCATTTCTGATGGAGGCGGAAATGTTGTTGGCCCCTGTATTCAGATTTGGGTGCATGTTAAAGAACCCCAGATGGTTGAAATTTTCGGAGCCCTCCACTGTGGCGTCTCATAATCATATGGTGATTTTGGGACGTTAACCTCACATATCTATCAAACCATATATAATCTGTTATGCAATGTTATGTTGTCATACGACACATGTTTTTAGGCCATTGTAGAGCTAATTGCATACTATCATTATGACCAATTGTTCCTGTAAGTATACATTATCTGTTTCTTGTGCTGCTAAAAACCACAATCAACAGCAATGAAATGCAGTGATGACACGTGCAGTGTCATGCCACCTGATTCTCACAGACTTTATTGCATTCAAATTACAGGCATGACGACTTTTCAAAAGCAGCAAAAGCACTGGTCTGGGAATCTCCAAGGCTGCAAAGGATCCAAGCACCTTGTAGACATGTTGCAATAGTACTGAAAGTTGGGCTAGTTGGTACGAATGCATGTTTGGTTACAGCGCGAAAACAAAGAAGACTGAGAATAAATCGGACACAAATGAGCGCTGTATCACAACTGAAAGTTTTATTTAAAGAACACAAGAACGTGAAAAAAACAGTGTATCAACATTGCGCAGAAGTGTTAGACAGTGCTTGTTTGTAGTTTCTGCTCTCCGTTTTATGGTGTCATCCTTTGGAAAACTAGGAGCACTACCGGTAATACTTTCTTCTGCTTTATGCAGAGCAAGTCTATTCTGTTGGCAGATTGAGAGTGCTCCCTGTATGTTACATTGGCAGATCTGGAGCAGCTTCATTGTGAGCTCCATTTCACGGAGCAACTTTCTACTCTGCGAAAATCGGCAGATTCGACCGAAAGTCGCAAGCGCCCCGTGCCTTGACAGGGTGGCAACTTCAGGCGCTCTAGCATCAGAGCTCATGTTTTGCTAGCGTTGCGTCGCTGTGCTCATCATGTCAACTCATGCAAGAAGAGAGATGAGCGCATCGCGTTACATTCTGACCTTGCCATTTACTCCAGAGGGAGTGCGTGTGTTCCATTGGTAGATTCCCTTCTGTTTTCCTCTGCAAGAGTGAAACGCCAGGCCTGCGCGGAAGGCGCAGCATAGTCACGGCGAAATCTAGAACGGCCTTTTAGCGCCCTTTCAAGACACCCACTGCGTAACTACTGCAAGCACACTTGCTTGATGCCCACTAGGGCATTACCAATAAATTTTTTTTTGGTAGTAGGCCGGCATTCGCTATGCTGTTTTTCAGCATTCTTCTGAGAAGCGTGGTATCCGCTAAACACTTGCAAGGAATTCTGTGCCAATTGTTCATACAACGGCTGCCAATGATGAGGAATTGTGGCTGAAGTGCTGCGATAGACTGACAGTAATGCACTGTGCTCTATTTGTGCAGATTCAAGAACCACTGGAGGGCATCATTGAGGTAGTTGGTGAAGTCACTGCTAAGTCAGCGATTGTCTGCGAAAGTTACGTGCTTTTTCCGCCTGCAGTGGTGGAAAACTTTGGTAAGCACATGTTGCTTTGCTTGATGGTGTTCTAGAGTTTTCCTTGATGTGTTGTGATGGCTCCGGGTAAATGAAAAAAGAAGCCTGACAAGTTTTAAATGCGAAGCATTTCCTTGCGTACTGCAAGCACTTTTGGTGTCTATTTGCCTATCTATCTATTTAGATGCTTGCGTGTGGTTGAGTTTGTGATCTAAATTAGTATGAGAGGGTAGCATGTTTGACGAATAATGACTTGCTGGTCATGACATGAATAATGTCACAATCTCGTTGCGTACGTCGTCAAACACTATCCTAAGAACAGTGGCACATATCTGGGGGCAGATATGTGCCACTGGTATGCAGGTATGTGGCCGACATTTCGTATCTACCCAGTAAGGGCGAGGACACACATGGGTAATTTAAATGCTTGAGAGTTGAGAAAAAGCTGCCCCAGGCAGCGTTGACCTGACTAATGCAAACAATAAATGCCAGTGTCCCAGCAGGAATAGAATCCTAGCATTCTAGGTGGCAATAAATTATGTTACCACAGTGCCACACCAGGCCTCGGATAGTTTCTTTAAATAGACACTAATGTTTGTGCAACGTCAATTGTGGTTGCAGTACTGGCTATCCAATTGTATAAACATTACGTATGTACTCCTGTGATACAGCTGTTATGTCGGGTTAACGTAAATTGTAGGTAGGCACCAGCTGCTGAAGTTGGTTTGTGTAGTAGTGTAGAGGGCTACTATCCTTGCACGCACCAGTGCAAACACCAGCACTTTATATCAGCTTACTTCTTCTGGTGTTGTTAGTATTCATGTTACTGTTGGCATCGTTATGCAACTGTAAACAACTGTTAATATAACACATATGTAGCTGTTTAACGAATGTGTGTGCGTGGATTTCTGCATATATTTAGTGCCACTTCATAACGTCTTACTGAATAAAAAAATAAAACGCAATCGGCTTCCATCCTTACATAACATCGATTCCCAAAGTACAAAGGATCTGCCAAATTTTATTTAATGTTGGTGTAATGGTGCGGCTATGTTCTCATTTGAGCAATATAATAATACCCTTGTACTAACATCTAAGTGCACGAAAAGTGGTTAATATTAGTTCTTACACTATCACATGTGTCGTAATCACATTGATGTTTTGATGCGCAATGCTGCATAATTTAATTCCAGAATTCTCTAGTAGCAGCAAACCTACGGCTTATTATTGTAGCACGACTGAAAGTTGGGCTAGTTGGCGATACACTCAAACCTTATTATAACTAAAGGTCATCTGCCTCGAAAATACTTCGTTCTATTGGAAAATTTGTTTCAAAGGATTATTTGTAAAACTGTATCTATTACAAAGCTATTCCGCCTTCAATTCATTATATTTGTATTCGTACAAATGTGCATCTCTTGAGCCATTGCTACCAGTAAACAAATACGGTACCACAGCTGATGCTGCCCAATGTGCCCACCAGAATGTATTTTCTTCCTTTTTTTTCAGAAGGAATAAGGTGTATTACGTCACACCAGAGAAGCCCACCTTGTTGGCCCTACTCATGATCAGAGCTTGCGATACGGTTTCCCATTCACTGTTTATTGAGACAAAAAAAGATTGCCGTGGTTGAAGGGAGTAAAGGCAGATTACCTCTGCCTGACTAAAGTTCCTCCACCCATACGTTTGCTCAGGCGCAGTGGAACAAAAGATACAAATTTTGTTTCTTATTTTGAATAAAGGGACACAAAAATCAAATTCAAAAAGTATAACACAAGTCAAAACATATATTTAAAATAATGTGTTACAGTCATCACTAATTTGCAGTAGTAAGATAAAAAAAGTATATAAAAAACTGAAACCATGAGAAATTTTTGGATAGAATACTAAGTATTATACAGAAATACATTTAAAACAAAATAAAATGAGCAACTTTCATCCAATATACAGTCGAATCTCGATAATTAGAACTCGAAGGGGCCCAAAAATTTGTTCGAATTAAAGGAAGCTCAAATTAATGAAAGCTAAATAAACGGAGCCCTCTCCATGAAGTGGCGCATGTGCATTGAGCTAACACTCGAGGGGGAAGTTTAAGAAGATTTACATTTATTCACAAATCACAGGATATCTGTTATTAATTGAAATAATCAATAATGCGCGTCTGCACACGTTTGCCTTGCAGTGAGTCGATCAATTTCGCACGCAGCTTGCAAAGCATTTCTACTTCGGCTTCAGCATTCTCCTGGCAAAAGAAGTTGCGCGCGGAAATGTCCAGTGTCAACGCTTTCTAAAGACGACACCGACTGCTGCGAAGCGCGGAGCCTCCCGCTCTATGCCACGCAATTGCAGCATGGCCAGCACGTGACGAGAAAGGAGGAGCGTCTCCACGCAGAGAGAAGCAGATCGGTATTTGAGAGAAAACCAACACTTCACGGCAGCTTTTTTTTTTTTTTTTTTGCTCTCTTCACGCACGTCGTTGAATGGAGGAGGGTTACGTGGCAGGGAAGGGAAAGGAAGAAGGAAGAAGCGGGGCATTGGCGCATGAGACCCCCCCTCTTAAGGCGCAGAGCCGTGCTCCCGTAAGGGGCAAGGGTTGCAGAAGATAGGGCCTTTATCCTCTCCTTCAACCACACAATCATTCAACCTAGCTACGGCTTTTTTTTTCCTCTTTCTCTCTTTGCGCATGGCGTTGAAAGGAAGGGGAAGGGTCTATACGTGGCAGGGACGGATAAAGGAGAAGCGTGACATGGGCGCGTCGCAGATCGGCATTTTAGAGGGAGCAAACATTCCACCACAGCCTTTTCTTTCTTTTTCATTTCCTTCGTAGGCAGCGTAGAGGCGTCGCCCAGCCACGGTGGTCTAGTGGCTAAGGTACTCGGCTGCTGACCAGCAGGTCACGGGATCGAATCCCGGCTGCGGCGACTGCATTTCCGATTGAGGCGGAAATGTTGTAGGCCTTTGTGCTCAGATTTGGGTGCACGCTAAAGAACCCCAGGTGGTCGAAATTTCCGGAGCCCTTCACTACGGCGTCTCTCATAATCATATGGTGGTTTTGGGACGTTAAACCCCACAAATCAATCAATCAAGCGTTGAGGTGTCGCAGGTGCCGCAGCGGAATCGGGCGGGGTGCTGAGAGCATTTTCGGAGCGCAGTATGTTCGAATTAACCGTCGAAAGTGCTTGGGCGTTGAATTACCGGGAGTTTTCGCCCATTGGAATACACATAGCTTTGATGGGTCCTCATCGTGAGTTCGAATTAACCGGAAGTTCGAATTATGTGCATTTGAAATAATGAGATTCAACTGTACAGTAGTAAGAAAGACACTGAAAGATGTATCAAATAGATAATACAGTTATGGCTCCTTACAAGTAAGGTTGTCCATCTTAACTTTTTCTTCACACTGTTTTTAGTAATACGTTATTACAAAAGTTCACAGACATAGCTATTTTTGTAGAGTAGATAAGGTATTTCGTATGATAATGTTTACTTATCATAGGTTGTCCTGAATAAAGGTAATCAAAATATAAATTTAGTTTTACTAATGTTCAATTGTAGCTGGTTTGAATATAGCCAGTAAGAGAGACCAGGCACTCATTGACTTTCTTCTCTAGATCTTTTAAACAGCTACCATAGAAGAACAAGCTCGTATCGTCTGCATGCATAACTGTAGAGGAAGTCAGTGGCACATGAATAATATCATTTATATAACTAATAAAAAATAGAGGTACTCCCTGTGCCATTCTGTCTTTGAGCTACCTGCATGAGTGGGCTGTTCTGCACCGAACCAGTGCATTTCGATTAAAAGCTATCGAGTGCCGTACTCCGAAGTATTGGCAAGTGTCGTTACTCGCATGATTTTGCGCTAAAGTTATGTGTTGGGCTCACCATGCTGGCTTCAAAACGGCACGGCTTGCCAAGGCTGCCTACGTGACGTCACGCTTCCTGATTTCTTTTTTTCCTCGATTCGCTGATTTAGCTGCCCGGCTGAATGAAGCGAGTATTAGCGATGTCGAATGGTGGCTACAGTACATGCAGAGTGGTACATTTTGCTGACAAAACTTTTTTCATAGCTTCCGCAGCATTGCACTTGATGTGTGAAATAGAGTATAGCAATCATGAAAACAAGATAATCATTGCTTAGCTCTTGTTTTCTTAGTTATTTCTCTTTCAGCTATGATGTTTAATGATGGGAATACACTCAAAACTTCGTAGGTGCTAAGTTTAATACTTTAGAAATAGAAAGGAAAATTATAGGTGTAACCTTAAGTGACAAGAAGAGAGCAGAGTGGGTCAGGGAACAAACCGGGGTTTAGGATATTATAGTTGCGAACAAAAAGAAGAAATGGACGTGGGTCGGGTGCGTAACGCGTAGGCAGGATAACCGCTGGTCATCAGGGGTAACTGTCCGGATTCCAAGAGAAGGCAAGCGGGGAAAGAGAGACAGAAATTGATATGTGGGGTTTAACGTCCCAAAACCACTATATGATTATGAGAGACGCCGTAGTGGAGGACTCCGGAAATTTAGACCACCTGGGGTTCTTTAACGTGCACCCAAATCTGAGCACACGGGCCTACAACATTTCCGCCTCCATCGGAAATGCAGCCGCCGCAGCCGGGATTCGAACCCGCACCCTGCGGGTCAGCAGCCGAGTACCTTAGCCACTAGACCACCGCGGCGGGGCAAGAGAGACAGAAAGTTAGGTGGGCAGGTGAGATTAGGAAGTTTGCAGGTGTAAAGTGGGAGCAGCAAGCATAGGACCGACTTGGCTGGTGGAACGTGGGAGAAGCCTTTGTCCGGCAGTGGGCGTAGTCAATTTGATTTTGATGTTTAGTACTGAATGTCTTGTGTAACCATTAGCATTTTTATTACTATAAATGCTGTAAGCACAATATTCACAGCATTTGACCTTCATCTTCTTCATCTGTTATAATCATCACGAGGAACGTCGTCTTCGTTCGAAGCGTTGATCAGGTGATTCATTCTAATAAACGCCGTCGCGGCCACAACACTGCTACTGTCT